GTCTATTTGACGAAAAACTTTTTCCGACAAATCAATACGGGCGCGCCATATGTCAAGAGTTGACGCTTTTTTACACATTAAAACAGAAACATCGGAGCCTTGCATGCAAAACAAATTCATTCAGCCACTCTTCCCTCTTAGTCCCAATTCATTCACGTTAGACATAATCATCAAATACAAAATATGCGCATATTTCGCAACGTGTGCGATTCTTTCGAATGGATTAATTCCTAATATGATATGCGTCATTTTTTCTGCCTGATTACTCATTGTGATAATTACTCATCCCTTAAACGTGTTACTTTTGCTTAAAGGCAACTATTCGTCTGGATGACGCCTCCGTTGTAATTTCATTAACACTTAAATATCACCAGTAAATTCTAGTAGTTATTGTGTAAAGTTATGAAACAGATATATTAAGGAAATTCTAATTGCCATAAGGCGACTGTAATATATGCTTTCGGGATAAATTTTCCCCTTTTTTGCTGCGTTTCTTATGTTCTTCAACCGTTTTGAAGAATAATAACACCCTAGTACGCGGCGTACCTGGTTAAGTGACTAAACTATCGTCAGTTACTCATGCAGTTCAGGCCTGATTCTCAAGCCATGCATTCCCAAGCTAGTAGGAAGCCCCATAAAGAGGGGAAGTTGGGAGTACTTTTTGATTACAGCTTGATTTCACACTGTATTTAGGTACAAGTATGGAATTTTCAGCCTGTGATATAGTTAGCCTAAATTTTGCAGCCCTACCGATTGATACCAGGTGTGCGTCGGCTGATGATTGAACCCCGAACCATGTGCATGGTCGCTGAGAGTCCCAGTTTCTGGGTTACTTAAATTTCATTTCAGTATGCACTTCGACATTCCTTAACGTTTTATTCATCTAAGTATGCTTCCGGATAGCTACATGAAGTCAAACACATCGTTAGTTTTGCAGTCAATGTACTGCGGAGCGGTACTGAAACGAAATGGGATAAAAATTTTCCTACAAGATACACGAGTGCTTGAGATGGAACAGATTCGAGTCTGACACGATCCTGCAAGAAGGGTGAATATTTTGCTATTTAAATAGACTAAACTTTCTGTACCATGTGTTAACACGTTGTTTTGTATAAAACTGTTGCTGTGATGCCTTAATGAGGACTTTTCGGAGTAAAGAGATTCATCTACAGCTTTACCGGAGGGGGAAATAACAGTTGAGCTTGAAACAATCATGTGACACTTCCATCATTAGTTACATTTGAAATTTCACTAACGTTTTAATTGTTTAAAAGCGAAAACAGCAGATATAAATGAAGGATAAATAATTTTTTCTATTAGAAAGAAATCACCAAACGTTTATATTGATAATAATCATACAAACAGCATGAAAACAAAATTGTTTACTCTGTGAAGAAAGGTGACTACGTTGAGAATGGCTCAGTAGTCGTATTTACTAATTTCGTCACATGTATATATGAAAACCATGATGATCTGTCATGTTTTATCTTCTTTTAAGAAGCTTTCGTTTCAGTGACAGAGGTAAACATGGACCAGATTAGAGTTGCTTGATGTCACACACTACTGATACGTTAATACAAGTAGCAGGAAATTACTCACATCTGCCTGTAGTCTGATGATTGTTATGTTCGTCGATTAAATGACCGTTTCAATGGCTGTTACTTTCCAGTTATGTTCTTCCCAAACAAATGGCCTTTTATTAGCAGTCGATCAGTTCTCGCTAAATTCTCCTAAATATGATTGAGAAGATTCGTAGCTCAGGTGAGTGATTTTGAAGAAGTGTTCTCAGAGCTGCATAGTTTATTTGTGAAGCTTCCATTACCACCTACTAAACAGCATCTTCAGCGCATACTTCGATTTGATGACGTCAGCTTTGAGATTTCTCCACGAGTTTATTAGTCATCTCTACTGGTGACCTTGAACATGACTGGCTGTTTTTATGTATTTTCACACACACTCCTGTTGGTATTGCTTGTTCCCTTTGACCTGAATTTTGACCCTTTGTGTATGAGATCCTCCTTATCGTTTGGTAAATTTTGTTTATATCAATGTGTTTATTAATTGATGATTCACTGGAACACCAGACTACTAAAAATTATCTGGCATTCTTCGTGTTTCCTCTGACTTATATTTGAACATCGTCCCAGTGGAATTGATGTCCGTGGTTATTTCTGTGTGCAGCGATATGAGGGAGTGGATGTCATGTCTTTTGATGGCTAGTTTATATTCATGAATAAGAAGACGAAGGGACAATGAAAGCTTAGCAAATAAAGTTTCCAGCTCGGAGACCACAACTAGACCAAAATAAATTTTTCTAAATATCAAAACTGTAGGTTATAATTTCAGACATTAACGGGGCATAGTACATGATGTAGGTGGATTTTGTAAGATAGCAGAGACTGAGATAGAAGTAACCACTAAATACCGTAGGTGGTCTTTCTTCTTTTCTTATTCATCCCCATCCAACTTTTTCGTAGAAAAATGTTTCTTCAAACTTCCTACTTAAGAGGAATTTTAAGACAATCTCCTTTAGCTTAGCTTCAACTTTTACAGATCCTTATCTCCCGTATTCAGCCTACTCCTAATTGTTTTATTTTTTTATTTTTATAACAGCTTGATGCCACATTGTATTTTCAGTACAACTATGGAATTTTCAGCATGGATATCGGTAGCCGAAATTTTGCAGGCCGACCAGAGATATCTGGTGTGCGTCGATAGGGAATCGAACCCCTGACCATGTGCATGGTCGGCGAGAGTCCTAACCCCTGTGCCACCGACGCACTTTTGTGAACTACTTCAAACTATTTCTTCAGATGAGGAAGTCGAGAAAGCTGCCACAAGTTATGAGTAGTATACCTTTAGACCAACGCTTTGATATCGGTGGTTGACAAACATTTAAAATCCCGTCAGAAGTAACCAAAAGTAATTAAATGGGATTCTCAACACTGTTTTTATTCACATATTACCTTTTGCAACTGTTAAGGTATAACACGAAATTATACATAACTTCATCCTTGGACAATTAAATATGAGAACTTAAAGTGTTAGGTGTGAGAAATAGCTCCATATTGATTTGTTTATTAAATATATCACACAGACACTGAAACAGTATTATTTGCTGGGTGACGTTTCGAACGAAATTGACTGTTCTTAATCATATCAGTTATAATCACAGAACCCCGAAACTTTCGTTATATAGTTTACTTTATTCATTCCTATTTGCCATAGATGTAGTAGAATTTTCCAGATGTCCGGTCGTACGCTTGTTGGCTCATTCCTATTACACGATTTTGCTGTCGATTTGATAAATGAAGCTTCCGTTATCAATCTCTCCCTGCAACCTGTTACATTAGATTTTAAGACTGCCATCTTATCCCATTTTTATTGTAATGTTGTGTGCAATTGCAAGTAGTTAGCTGTATGGCCGAACATTTGTCTGGAGTTCTAATTCTAGTGCCGGTTCACAAATAATCTAGATTTTGTTACGTGTTTATGCTTGGCTAGTCTGACTGCCCCTGTTCTACTAGTCTGACCTGATAATCATTCAGGGTATTAGATGAAATAAATTATTTTGCTGAATTGGCTCCACAGGATTGATCCTTTACCCGACAAAGCTTGTTTCTAATTGAGTTTGTGGGTTTGAATGCCAGTCACTTTTATTCCTGCATTGTTATGAATTCTGCGTAAGGTTTCCGAGGTTCCTTCCTTGTATGGCAGGAATTACTACTGATGATTTAGATTCCTTATTGTTGGTGTTGTCATTATCCTGTACATGTTCGACATGCGTGTCATCATTAATAATTTTATTTAAGACAATTGGTTCCCTTTATGAATTTAGATAAAGCAATAAGAAGGCGTGATTTGTCTGAATCTTGTGTAATTTTGTATTTGCGCAACACATTTCGAACAATCTGATCACACACGGACTTGTCACATGAATATCAATGAAATTAATAGAGGTGAGAGGTGAGAAAATAGATTTAGGTGAAGTTCAAAGGACATATTGAAGGTCAAAATAACAATGAAGACCACTTGACCAAAAAGCAGAGGTAAAAGTACATCTGCTATGGTATCAAAACGATTGTTTTATTATCACTACCACAGTGCCCAAGTTTTACACAAATAATAATGTGAGAAATAACTATTTCAATTCAGTATGCCTTTTTAAATTGCTTCGGAAGCAAGTAGAATCCACAAAACCCAATAACAGTGATAACGGGTGACCTAACTCCTCTATTGCGAAATATATTATAGAGACGGGACAAATATCTGTTGGAAAACAGAAAGATTGAGCGAAGAAATATTTACTTTTCGATCAGATCCTCATCTCTGGCTCTACTCTAATAGATATAACATTTTTTACAATACACAACAATTTACCAAACAAGTGTTTACACGTCTTCTAAACCTATCCATAAAACGTGTCTGCGGCGTATTCTAAAGTGTGTGGAAACTTTAGCAATTAGGAATTTTAAACCACCTTTATGTGATCAAAGCAACAATTTGTCGTCACACTAAACCTTCCTTGGTAAACTTTGTTTTGATACCAACCAAGTTAGCCGTATTATAACCTCTCTTATTTGGCTTAGTGGTCTTCATTGTTATTCTGACCTTGAATGTGTCCTTTTGACTTGACCTAAGCAGTCTATTTTCTCACCTCTTAACTCTTTATGAATTTCATATTTATTCCTATAACAAGTCCGTGTGTGATCAGATTGTTCAAAATGTGTTGTGCGAATGCATTACACGATTCAGAGTAATTACGTCTTCTTATTCCTTTATCGAAATCCAGAAAGGGAACTAAATGTTTTAAATATCTCAGTTTTATCCTGTAATATAAAGTGAACAATAAGCTCAATATTGTAATATATAGAGAGAATTCCACATTGCATCAAAAATATGATTTCGAATGAAGCCTTCTTTATTACTATTGTCATAATTATCAAACATAACTATGCGAGTGGGTGTAATGAAAACAAAAAGGTGTTACACACACTTACTGTACTTCGATGTCGCTGAGGTTGAATGTTGAAGACTCCTTCTGATTAAATTCTTTGTAATAAATGTAATCACCAGCAAAATGATATTTGAAATAATTCCAAAAGTGATCAGCACCAATAGAAATTTATGTCTTGTTTCATTCCATGTTGGAGTTAGCGATTTGACACTGACCACAGTGCCATTCATAATTCAAGAATGTTGATAATGATAGTACAATCAGGATTGTAGCAGACTGTCTTCAAGTGAAGTGAATTTATACTTGGTAGATGAATATTCTAAAATAAATTAAAAATGTAAGCGAATATTTGTTCAGTTTAATGGACACTACACAGTATGTGTTAATAACAATTTACGTATTTCGATTTCTAGCCAGTGGACTCAGGGAAAATTGAGTAAAAGTTGAATAATAAAAGATTAGTAATTCAGACGTCACTATTTCATCCTCTGCCAAAACCCAGACTTTCTTTTTACATTCAGCCATAACTTACCAGATAAATAACAATCGTCTACCAAAGACTATCACAGAGAGTCTAGATTCAACTTCCTGCATCTGAAAGATAAGGATTCATGTTTGAAGGATTTTGTGGTTTCCATAGCGGCGAGGCTTTTTGGCAGGGTGGAGTTTTTCTGACTCCCGCCTAACTTCCCCTGTTATCTAGGGCTGCTTAGTTGGTTGGAAAGGTTTAGTTAATGTGTCGGCGGGTAGTCAAACCTAAATTACCCACATGACAAAAGAGCACCACATCCTTGAACTACCAATCCATTACTATCTCATTTAGTCTGATCAATTTCTCTTTTCACCAAAATAGATTTCACTTTTAGTTGAGAATTAATTGTTCTTGCACTATACACCTACTTTAAGTTAGTTAATTTCATTGAATGCTTTGTTGAAGAAAAATCTGGACTCATGTGCATTTTTAAGATGGCGTTTAATTTAATGCTAAGTTTGTTTTCGAAGTACAAAATCGTCTACGATAAAACAATTTCTCGTCGTATGTTATACTATAGATATCCAATTTACTTGTTGAATCTCTGTATTTTCTTTGTGATAATGGTTCCGATAGAAGTACAATAATTAGCGAATTCAAAGAAGTACATGCGGCTATGAAATTCACATGTGAGGAGGAATCTCAAGACGGAATTGCCTTCCTCGATGTCCTACTTACAAGAAAACCAGACGGAAGCATAAAAAGAAATTTACGTAGAAAAAGTACTTGGACGGGACAATATATACACTTTCATAGCTTCGTTCCCATCAAATACAAAAGGAATTTGGTGAAGACTCTTAGCCACAGAGTTAGAGCTATATGCTCTGAAGAAGTAATTAAAGATGAATTAAACATTGTATATGATACTTTAATTGAAAATGGTTATCCTGACAAGTTTATCAAGAAACATATGACGAAGGCCGAAAAGGACTACCCACTATCTGTAAACAAGAAGCCCCTTTATATACGACTGCAATTCAAAGGCGATAAACCAAGTGAGTTAATTACAAAGAAATTAAGAAAAGCAGTTCAAAGGACTTTTAATGCTGGCGAACTACACATATTATTCTCTACAAGACCGATGGTGCTACCTCGACTGAAAGATGAAGTACCTAAACTGGCCACTTCAAATTGTATTTATCAATTCAACTGCGCTTGTGGAGCGAGTTATATTGGCCGTTGCTCTAGGAACTTGATTTTTCATGCTCGAGAACATCTCCCACTATGGCTAAGTAAAGGTGTAGTTAAAAGTATTAACAGCTCGATATTAGACCATCTGGTGCAAACCGGTCACAAAGCTAGCGTAGACGAATCCTTCTCCATAATATACCGGGTGCCTAACAAACTACCAAAGTCGTCGAAGCACCGCTTACTCCAAACAGCAGAGGCTATTGTAATTCGCCTCAAATAACCAGCGCTCTGTGTCCAAAAGAAACAAGTCCAGCCCCTATTACTGCCCTGGCTTTCAGTAGAGACTATAAACTCATGAATTTGTACCATTAACTTTCCTAATTCTTCTGACATTCAGTTTATTTGATGTTGATGCTGTTCAACTGTAATTTATCAATATTATTGATTTGATGTTATTTAAACATTAATGTCGTTCATAAGACTAATTCATTCATTCATTATAATGTATATATAATTGTAGAACCTGATGATGAATTTATCGAAAAGAGTTCTCTTTGTTCCGTGTCTATTCTTTTGAAAATTTTAATGGGCATTTTTAATCAATTTAATGATTCCTATTGTAGTATTAAGAACACAATTTTCAGGGAAGAGACACTTTTCAACAACTAATCTATTCTCAAGCTGTACAATCGTATATATACGGTTTTAAAGAAATTATATCCGTTGAGGGAATTGGATCAAAGCTGTGAATAGATGAAATAAGTATAGTAGCAATATGAAATGCAATTGAAATATTTGTGATTATAATCATAGTTAAATATCAAGTATCAAGTGGTAAAACAATCAGTGTCATATAGAGAATAATTCGTAAGGTGTATAGATGTTGCAAAGGGGTGCATAATTATAGGGTTAGTAGACGAATATAAAATTTTACATAATATGGTGCGAATTTTTTTACAATATTTAACTCTATCTTACCAAATATACATATATATATTCATATGCATAAACATATACAAACATATTTATGAATCTAGTTGTTTGAAGTTATAAAATAGTTTATCAGCTTAAAGAAACAATTCAGGGTTATCAAATGTCTGAAAATATTGAAATGTAATAAATAATAATAATAATTTGCTTTATTCCAAAACAGTACTTGTGATACAGAATGGAATTCTCAGCATTTTTACTACAGTATTGCATCCAGTTTGTACATTATCAATAAATAGAATTCTACATAGATTGAGGAAACCGCAGTTCATTATTACAACAATACATTGGCATGTCAGTAGCAAAGGTAAAGCTGAAACAGTGTTTGAAGGTGTTAGAAAAGTGGGAGCTGTCTTATTAACTGGCGTAAGCGAGAGAAAGAGACAAAGCAGCACATAACGGAAAAAGAAGAGAGAGAAAAGGAACAGAAAGAAAGAAAATGTTGTACCTATTGGTGAAGTGGGTTGGAAAGATGAGATCCAGTTGTACTAATGACTATTTAACGAATTATAGGTGTCACGCCCAATGCTTTCTTTATCACACAGAACACGAGCTAAGTAGGGTATGGTTGAGTTTTTGTACTTGCTGGTGCGAGCATATAGTTTTCTATATTGGCTTCTTGTAATGTAATAAAGAGACACTAACTCTAAGGGTTATCTAGGAAATAAGCACTGATGGTCATACGTATAATGGTACGCAGGAAATGTGCGATTACAAGTGAATCTATACGATTACATATCGAAGCACGAACGTTTTAAGTAAGCTTAAGATTGCTCACGAAAAGCTAAACAAATATACGCCAAAGCGTTACCCACTAAACCAGTTGGGCCACGACAGCCACCTCTTGTACAACCGGTTTTATTGATTATTTGTCTCAATTGTAAATTCGTGTAGATTCTCCTGTTAACTGAAATGATCGAAATGCCCAAAGAGATGACACGACAGCCTGAGACCGGGCACTTCGATCCAATCAATCGACGGGGAAGTCGAAATTGAATTAAATAGGAGATATATATTTTAGGCGACTTTAATATCAAGTTTCACACTCAAGCTCATAAACAGTTGGCAGTCATAGTAAATCATTTCCACGAAACGATGGGGAGTGAAAAATATGTTTAAAGATGTGGCACAAATCAGCCCCAATTCAACTCTAATTAGGAATATATACTGTTAATGTTTTCACCATCACTAGGAGAAATCTAAAGGAAATTACTTTTTTCATCTATCTAGGTGACATCTTTTTCACAACAGTTATCACCGATGAGGATGTCAATGGTAGACAGGATAGAAAAAGCAAGATTGACCTTCACCACACTGAAATAATTATGGAAATCGATTACACTAAGCAAAGAAAACAAGATATGGTTCTTCAACTGTAGTGTAAAATCAGTCCTTGATTTCATGGAGCATGGAGGACGAAAAGCATTTTCAACAAGCTACTTCAAATCCTAACCATCATTAGTCTTCGACTGACATTGCAAGTCTGATCGGCGGCTGAAAAGGATACGAAATGAGTAACTCTGCCAGGTTGTGACCCAGGCAACAACCTCTTGCCAAACAAATATTCAGAAGGGAATGGAGACGGATGTGATGAATACTGCGGATACCTAGAATAGATATAACAGACCAAGCCGTCGAGTATGAGCCAAATTAGAAACAGGAAAGTGACAGTCCAAGAATGACACCGAGGAAGTTGTGAGAGAAGGAGATGAGGGCTCATGAGCAATCAAGAAGACTGAAAAGAACAGAGTTAAACTGCAGTATGCTTCTGAAGGTTGCACTTGGAACCAAAAGGAAATAATATTTTTCATGAAAACTTTGAAGTAGATTCATTAGTTCTTAAAGTCTGGCGTTTGACATAAACTGGGCAAAATAATATAACCTTATCCGTTTATCTTATTCGATGAAAGTTAATTGGAATACTGCAGTGTAATACCGTAGCTTTTTATTAGTGTTGGCACCCCTAATGGCGCAAAAGAAAAGAAAATTCCTAATATAAACAATAAATTTCGAGTTATTTCATGTCTATGAATTATGTTGTGTCAAATAATCATTCAAATGAATGTAGACTTTCACACTCAGTTTTATAATGAATTTAAAATTATTTGAGTTTCAACAAAAAAAATTAATCCCAAGGAAATGATCTCAAGCAAATAAATTTATTCATATCTAAATTTTCACTAACAAGTGGAGAAAACAAGTGGAGCTACTCAGACACTTTTCCACTTGTTCACAAGTTTTTTTTCTTCTGGTAATTTGTTGAAGAAAATTAAAAGTGCGTTGAAGCGTAAATAATTTCAGACATTCAGATAACAAATGAAGTACACTCGAGGAAATAAGAATGTTTTTTTACAATAGACATTGTGAATGAAACTGGATAGTCCACGTTCAGGAAGTATCACATACTATGCTTCTTTACACACAGACTGAACTTACAGAAACGATAAGATAAGACAAAGATTATTATCTATGTAGGTTTCATGTTTTCCTAGTGGACCATCAGGTCTCACCGACACATCTATGTGGGATGCCGTTCTCTGTTATCACTTATAAACGGCTCCACCAGTGAACACAAGTATTAATCTTCTGTTCACAGCATATCTTATAATTCACCATCGAGTACCCAAACTGTCGGTTCTTATTCAGGCTACATGCCATAGCCTGAT